AGTGAATGAATCCCATCCCCTAGCGAGTGAAGTGCTTACGCCCCTTTCTCTAAAGGGGCGCGCTATTATAATATAATAAAAGGTAAAGGGGGCTGAGAAGCTGTTGCTTGCTGTCTACTTCGGGAGCCTTCACTGCCCCGTTCTGTAACCTCCCTTCTTTTGTTTTGTCCGTCCACGAGGCTGTAAAAAGAGAGATAGGGGCGGCTATCTAGCGGGAGTCGTTTCGGTTGTATGCCACGAGGTCCCTATGGACAAGGGGACAAGTGAATCATCGCTTTTGGGCGCAGGCAGCCCTCTACCATCCATCCCATTGCATTCCATCGTCTCGTATTGTACTGTACCGTATCAGACCAGATACATCTATTGAGTGAGAGAAAGGGATCAAACTCGAATTATATATTCTTCATTTTTATATTGATAGGGATCCCCATTCATTCCTAGATTCCCGTCACTACGGATTGATTGTCCCTACCTAACTACATGGTAGTGGTCTAGGGAGCGCAATTGCTAGAGCACGGGAGAATGAAGAGTAATGATTTCAGCAAGAGCAGCCGGACGGACTACTATAGTGAGTCTAGTGACTACTAGAGTAGAGTTGAGTCAAAAGGTATGGTATAGCAGCCTTTCCGAGCGAGCCTCTGGGATCTCCTGTAAACCCCCATGATGTGGTAAAGGGAGGATATTAGGGGAAGCAGTGAGTGGGGATTCCCCTGCAGAGAGCCGGATGAGGGGAGACCTTCACGTCCGGTTCGGAGGGCGGGGATATCCCGACCCTACTATCATTATGCCTTTGCAATGTTACTTGGTTCAACTCTATTTGTGACCTTTTCTTGTATGTGGGACTCTCTATCTTCTTGGGTAGATAATCGATCGTCTTTCATTTTGATAGTGAGTAGTTTTTATAATAATAAGTCAAGTCAAAAATAATAATCGAACTGGAGGATCTTGCCAGGATGGCTTGGTAAGCAAGCAACCAGGCGCCAACTCCCAGTTCTTTCTCTTCTCTCTTTTTTAGTTTAGTGACAGCTCATCAAAACAATTTGCTAGATCGAGCACGCGACGCGCATAGTCTTAAGTTCAAGAGCGGGTTGTCTCCTCTTCAACATTTCTACTCCTTCCATCTGCCCGCTTTCAACCCTTTGACTGCAACCATGCTTGCCAGAATTCTTGCTTCCCTTGTTTCCTTTCTGGTTAACTGGTCCCTTGCTTCTTTGGACAGACTGACTTCCTTACCTCGCTTCGCACCTGGTTTTATTCAGGACTTGGAGACGGGGATAGCAGCGCTTAGCAGCGGATACGCTAACGCCGGATAAGCATCCCACTGCCTCCAACAAGGGATTCTGGGCATGAATGTGAAGCCCCTTCCCAGATACCACCAACTTGGTTCTTGTTATCTCCTTCCTCCCCATGCGTGAAAGACAAGGTCTGAGTTCACTTTCTATTGAGCCTACTCCTTCTCTGTGTGCATTCGACTCCTCTTAAACTATGGAAGTTCCTTGCCTTAGTCAGATATTCATTCGTCGGGCATTGCTGAATCCCGAGAATCGCTAATTCATGCCACTGAGCTGGTAGTAGGGTATGGTGGGTGCTTGGGAAGCTTCACAGGTGGAGAGTCCTGTCTTAAGCCCCTTCAGCCGCCAATCCTAACATAGAGTCCTTCTCCTTTATCCCGCCCAGTTCCTTCTGCCTTTTGGGGGTGTTTGAGTTTGCATTCCCTTTTATGTATTTCCTTTAGGACATGGGTTCCCTTCGAGAATCTATAAAATCAGCTGTTAAAGAATAGGACTCGAAAAATGGAATTCCTTTTTCATTGACATTTGCCTGCTTTAAAGAATATCCCTATTAGCCGTGCTAGGCACCTAGGGCTGGTGGTGAAGTCAGTTAAGAATATTCATCCTAGACTCTAATAAGCATCGAATGGGATTTCTGGACAGAATGCGCTCTTAGCAATTGAATCCGTAACCTTTGCTATTTCATCTCCGGCTATTGAATCAGCTGGTATAGAAGAAGCTGCACATTCATCCGGTGTGCTAGAATAAATGGCATCGGAATGCTGCAATCCAAGTGTGAAAGAAGGAGCTGCAGATGAATCTGACTCTATCAAATCAATTCCGATTGAATCGACATCTGAGATTCATTTTGAAAAGAATCCCTTATCTTCCTATTTAGGAACTTCACTCCTGGAGGAAGGTAAGCAGTAGGACAGGTTAGGCAGGACTAGGAGTCCTCCTGCCTAACCTGCCTAAAATCTTAAAAAAAAAGGAGCTTTGCATGTATGTGTTCGAAAGGTAAAAAACACCCTCTGTGGCTTGATTTACCAAGCAAGTATAATTGAACGGGACCCTAGCCCGTCCTGTGGTCCTGAAGCAAGGTTCCATCCTGAAAAAGAGAGCTCAGGAGCCTGAATCTCTGACGGAAAAACTGTTGGAAGGAGAGATCTCATACAAACTAACTGCTCGATCAATGCGCATTAAAGGCGATTATAATGAATGCCCAACTATAGCATCTTTGAATTGAGCTTAGCCCTCTTCCTATCCTAAACCCCAACGAATCAAAAGGAAGGATTGATGGAAAATCTGGCAATTCAGTTAAGTAACTAGTTAGTCTATCAAGCCGAAACTAGGAAGTAGAGGACTTCAGGTTTCCCTTTTAGGGCAAAAAAATGCGCCCCACGTTAGAACTCTCTTGAACCGCCTTCTTTATGGCTAAACCTTTTGTTGAAGACCGAAAAAATCGTAAGGTTCATCCTCAACTTCTGTACGGGTTCGAGAGTTTGGTTCGACTGATACTGATGTCTCATCGGGTTCAGATGGGGATGGGAATGCGGATTTTGATGCCTCGTATTCTAAGGAAGAGAGTGTTTCCAAAGATGAAGACCTAGAAACTAGAAAGCCCTAGAGCTAGAGCTTGTTGAGAAAGTTGTTTTAAAGATAG